ACTCATGTATTGTCTAAGGTCCATGAGAGAACTTGTGGAGAGCATATCGGAGCAAGATCTTTAGCGTTCAAGTCTTGTAGTAAGGCCACTATTAGCCAACCTCAAGCAAGATATCGCAAAGTACGTCTAACACTATAATAGATGCCAATGCAATGCTTGAGTCCAAGGGTTATCGATAGTAGCATTAACTTTGATTGATGTGACCTGGCCCTTTGCTTAGTGGGGATTGGTTATACTAGGGCCTTTTCCACCTACTTTGAGCTAAAGAAAGTATCTAATAGTTGAGGTAGACTACTTTATCAAATGGGCGAAGACCGAGCTTTTTGCATCAATTATAGAAAAGCAAGTTAAGGGGTTTGTTCAGAAAGATATCATTTTTCGATTCAGAGTTCCATGGGCATTAATCACTAATAATGGAACATAGTTTAAACAATGCTAAATTCTAAGAATTTTAAAACTCCTTTGGAATTCACTTGAGATTTAGCTTAGTGGCACACCTATAGGCCAACAACTAGGTCGAGGTCACTTACTAAGCCATACTTGATGGATTAAAGAAAAGAATATTTGAAGTTAAAGACACATTGGTGGACTCTACACTTTTCCAAAAAGAAGTTATTGAACTACACCAAAAGCTTCCATTAGAGACAAAGGTTGTGCTCCTAATTGAATTGCAATACTATCTAGCTTATGAGACAGAGGTTATGCTTCTAATTAAACTGATATTGTTGACTGCTTGAACTCTACACTTTTCCAAAAAGAAGTCGAAGGTCGAACTCAAAGCAAATATAGACTTAGTTGATGAAATCAGAGCTCCAACACATCTCAAAAACTTGACTTACAAGAGGACGACTATAAAGACCTTTAATACTAAAGTTCACTCTCGGTTGAAAGAAGAAGGCTTAGTTTTGACAAAAACTATAGTTAGTGACCCGACTCACACTAGGAGTAAGTTGGCACCAACTTATGAGGAACCATATTAAATAATAGAATATGTCTGACTTAGAGCTTACCAACTCCTAACTCTCAATGGGTCGGACATCCCCAAAACTTAGCATATTTTGCACCTCAAGAAATGCTATCCTTAATTTTGTAACTTTTTTTTATAGTTGCAATAAAAGCTTATAGAAATATTTTTGACTTAAAAAATATTATTAAGAAAAAAAGTATTTACATTGTCTACAAGAGTCCTTACATTCCAAAATAAAATCTTTGATTATAAAAAAAAAGATAAAAAATGACAAACTAACCCAATTATCCTTTCAAAATTTTAATAATGTCCTCCTCAAGAACTAAGTCTGGAGTCAAAGTGTTCGCTAGCTAGATGGGCTCATTAGCAATTGATGTCTTGATGGCTTCTTGGGTTGGCTCTTGGACATCTGGCAAAGCCCCCTTTGTTGTCTGTCCAACTGCTAGTGCCCCCTCAACTTTGTCGTCGGCCTCGGTGCCTCCTTCCTCAATGTAGATAGTTGTCTCCCTTTAGTCATTGATGTCATCAAATCCAACCATGATGAATTTGTTATCAGTAGGATGCCCAACAATAGAATCTTCTAAAACAGTCAGGGTGGGGTGGTTATATCTAGTTCTAGCGATTGCTAGTTCATAACCAAAAGCAAAAGAATTATTTCCTAGCTTGGTTAATTACTTTTTGAACCACCGAGAGGTTTTATACTTGGCCACCTCGCACACCTTTGCCTCGGCCTCATGCTCCTCAGCATACTTTTGCTATAAGAGCAACACCTCATTTGCGCATCGGAGTTTACTAGCCTCCATCCTTAGAGCCAACCTTTCAGTCATAAAGCAATTAGCATCGACTTCAACTTCTAGGGTTCTATAATATTCCCTATCCCTTTCCACCTTTGCTACCTCGACCAATCCCCTCAAGGACTTAGTCTGTCATCGGAGCACCATAGTCATTTCCTCTATTGTTGAAGCTACTCCCTCTAGCTTGTCAACCCAAGTTTAGAGCCAAGCTGACTTGTCCTCTTATTGAGATCTCTTGACTACTACATCATCTTATTCCTTTGTAAGAGCTTCAACATCTTGAAGGAAATGACCGACGATAGTCAAGGAATCTCAAGTACGGTCAAAGACTAACATCATAAGCTATTGGTGCTACAAATCAAAGCTGCAAGTCAAAAAATAGTTGAAACTTAAAAATTATTGAAAGCAACAAAGTTCAACACTAACAATAACCAAATCCTCTATGGGTCTTAAATAGAGGTCCTTGGCTAGTATGGGATGCAGGAGACACTAGTTCCAAGAGGTGACCCCCCTTGGAACCTCCCATGATCGATTGGAACCTATTAAGTTCTAGTTGGGGACATATATGTCCCCTTCTCCTAATGATCATTATGTCATTGATTCACAACGATAAGAATTCCACCAGATTAGCAAGATCCTTATCACTGATGCAGGCAGTGTGTCATGATGTATGGTCGATGGTCTTACCCTTAAAGTTTTTGAAAAAAAAAGGGGAGTGGAATGCTGTTGTTGTTGCTGCTTGGTCTAGTCCACCTCCGCCCATTGATCCCCTGAATGAGGGGAATTAGATCTCCTAAAGGGATTAGTCGGTGGGGTTGCTTCCTCCTAACGCCTCCACTAGTTGGGTGGGGGTGGCAATAGAGGGGGATGCCCTCTCCTTAGTGATAGGTCGATAGTACTCTCTATTGACCTCCTCCTCTTAACAAGTCTAAGTCGACCTGGTTCAAGAGACAATTCTTTTTGTTTACCTATTTTGACATCATACATTGTATTTCAAAATGCTCCCATGAAAATCCATGCAAAGAAAAAGTTAATAATTAATCAATTTGAATGAGTTCCTAAAAACAAAACTATAATTTCTTATCACTAAGGAGCTAGGCTTAGACTTACATTAATAAGCTACTAGTCACTCATCTGAAAGATAATGATGGACTCAAATAGGGCTAAAGATAGTTGAAGTAATTACTCTTTTTTTTATTCATGCAGACTTGGGGCGGCATTGGAAAACTTTTGATTGGACTAATCCAAATTGACCGACAACATATTCCATAAAAAAATAAAAAAAATCTCATCTTTCAACCCTTATAGGAGATCAAAGAACCTATAACTAGATAGTCAGGTTGGATAGAGAGGAAATATATCAACCCCTTGAAGCATAAACTATAGTAAGCTAACATGAGGGTTAGCATCGGGGAGATACAAGTCCTTGGGCACTACCTGATAAATGCTACATGAAAGTGCTAAGAATTTGGCACCATCTAGGTGGGTAAGAACTTTCAAATTTTGAAAGTCTTATACAAAACATATGACATGATACATAAGGCCAATTATTTGGCCGAGCAACCACTAACTCGAACTCAACTAATATATGATATGCCTCCTAGAGCATCTCTAGTTGGAGACTGACACCACTAAGTCCTAGTTGAAGGGCTCTACCATAGTGGCTAAGCCACACCGTAGGATGTATTCACCTATATAAGAGAGGGTGGGGGGGGTAAGCCTCCATTAGTGCAGCTGACTTGGCCCCTTTAGAGGTTAAAATTTTCATCATCGATATCAAGAGTGGTAATAGGATCGATGACCCATCCAAGTCCAAAGTATTAGAAGAGGAAGTTGAGGACGACATCATAGACTTTTTGTTATGTGAGTGGTTCCGAGAGTATTATATGAAAATGTTCAAGTTGCAAACTAAGGTGAAGAGCAACTATGGTAGCTAACCACTATTTATAGGGGCTGAGAGTGGCACCTCCTCTACCTTGCCACCCGTTCAGCTCCTGAACACCTTGAAAAATGTGGGACACAATATTAGTTAGTGCTCCCTAGGACACGTGGTGCAATCCTAATGATACAATGATCATTCAGATCATTAGGGAGATCATGCTGAATCTACCATGATCCATGTAATGGCTATGCGATAAGTGATAATTATGCCACATCCCCCTTCATCGCACCCGATGCTACATGCCCTCTGCGCCATTGCATTTGGCCTTCCAATGCTTGGTGCACCACCACTTCTAGCCTCATTGACCCTTTGTACCACCACACCTGACCTACTGCCCCTTTGTGAATGACCGTGCCCGACCCCACTGGCCCTCTACACCATTGCACCTAACTTACCAAACCTTTGTGTACTATCACATTTGGCTTTGCTAGCCCACTATGCCATCGTACCCGACTATATAATCCTATTGTGCAATCGCATTATGTCGTTGTATCCATTTGTATCATCCTACCATGCTATAACGTCTAGTCAAAGTACTGACCTATAATATACTGAGTTAGTATACTGAGTATCAATTGAATAGTACTTCCCGATTAGTTTTCAAGACGTGTTATGGTAAAAATGACATAGTTGATCCATCAATACTATATACCAATACTACCACTTTATGTTTGACACCTCATCTCTACATCAGCAAGCCACCTAGTTGGCACATGGGAGCCATTTAAGCGAATTCCTATCACCACCTTAATCTTATATAAAGGTACCATATAATTGTCGGATGAAAATTGAGTACAAACAATCTTCACACATTCATTATTACACGAACAACATGGTGAACAAGCATAATGGTTTGGTTGATGACGATTTTCATTGGCGTAATAGATAGATATAATAATTCAACATTAGTAAAGGGTAATTATAATTGATTATTACACTTTTGTTATCATACGAAATACGTAATGGCCTCCCTGGCACTCATTATAAAATGAGTCATACAGATACATCCAAGACACAATAATCTTAGTTCGACTAGTTCGATTAAATTACTAACTTAAGTATCAGAGGAATATTATCGGGAACACCCTCGACATAGTTTTTGTAAGATCCGAACATTCGACTTAGAAAATTACAAGGTTGTCTAAAAGAAGAATTAGGTTAGATTCCAGATAGCTTCTCAACAACTAAAATATACTCTAATATATATACATGTATATATACATATATATATATATGTATATGTATATATATATGTATATGTATATATATA